TAACTAAAGATTTGTCGTCACTGACAACATAAAATTGTCCTTTTCATAGAACACATAAATACAAATATAAACTATAAAAATACCAGGAAACACTCTAGTTTCAAGCATCACATTTGTCCACACAGTGAGGACAGCCAAATGCGTAGAAATTGGAATGGAACACACATTTTTAATATGTATAAAACAAATGCAGCATATGAAAACAGTCAATAATACGATAAAAAAAAGATCCCAATATAATACCTGAAGATCTCGTTGCTGAGCAAGAAGCTTCATCTCGACCAGCTTATACTGCTGAAGCCTGCCAAATTCAATAAGTCCCAACCAAATAAGCTTTAAAACCCTTCAATCCCAACTAAATTTGAAAACTAAAAAGAACCCAAAGTTCAAAAAAGTTAAAAACTTTTAATTAAATTAGATTTCAACATAAAAACATAGCCTACAAAATGCACTTCAGTAAAATTGAGAGTTAAAGAAGGGACCTTTCTTGGAGAAAAGCAAGGGCAGAGTTAACATCGAGGCCAGTTTGAGAGAGATAAATCTCGACATCTTCTACGAACTGAGCTCCGTGGATTCCTCTCCTCTCCGTCGTAGTTTTGGGTGATGCCGTTGAAGACGAAGATGCAGCCGCCGCCATGTTTTGAATGTTTTTTTTCTCGATTGAGAGAGTGAAAATCAGAGGAAGAAAAATTACGCCGCTGATCCGTACGGTGTGAGCTTCGAAGGAGCGATAGTGTTCGTTGCTGTCTGAGTGATACGAAAGGCTGAGCCGAGGGACCGGAGCTATGAGTTTGAAGGCGGAGACCATATAAAAAGATCAGCGATATCGTGAGATGACACTGAGATGAGAAGATGCGGATTGGACGGCGTCGTTTAGAAGGTGAAATGCTGGAAGATGGGCTCCAGTATGGGGCCCGTGTTATATGTGTTTGTTTTCTTTGTTTATTTTCAGCTCATTTGTTGATATCAAGTGGAAGTAGGGTATATGGGTTTTTTATTTAGTCTAATATAGCAAGTAAAAATTATTTTGGGATATATAGTATTTTTTTAAAATGACATAGAACTCGTCATGTCGAGGTGACGAAATTTAATAAAAAATATTTTTTATTCTAACATTTTACTTTGATGTGATAGATTTTAATTAAAAAATTATATTTTTATTGAAATTCGTCACTTTGACGTGATAAGTTTCAATAACACTGTAAAAAATATCGTAGATCCCAAAATATAATCCGAGATGCCCTAATGGGCTAAATAAAAAAATATTATCCTTATTGGGCAAAAAAAGTCATAATGAACAAGTAAAATTTAAGGCCTTATTATAATTTCTTTTAATCCATTTGATAATATTATATTTAGTGATGTCAAACGAGCGGAGCGGGTAGAAATATCTCTTCTCCTATTTTTATCCACCTAATACTTTTGTATTTACCACTTATCTATCATCTATAACGGGTAAAAATTTTAGATCCACACACGTCCATGTAGGTATATTTTTGAATTCATCCTCACACCCACTACTTAATTGGATACTCACCCCTCATCTCGTACTCGTTTGTACTTGTCCATACCGACTAATTTACGATAGGAGAAATAGTGGTCTTCAATTCTAAAATGTTTATACTCTAACATTTGGTTAAATTACAAGTCATGCCCTATAAAATATTAAGATTTATAGAATAATATTTGAAATTATACTTAATTTCATAATTGTCCAAAAATTATATGGTGAGTAGTTAGTAGCCGAGTGGATTCGGAACGGATAAGGTCTCAAACTTATCACCTACCTACTACTTACAACGGGTATAACTTTTTACATCCACACCCTTCTACTACCCACTAAACTTATACTCATCTTCGTCCCAATTGAAATGGTACGGAATCCACTTTACTCTCTATCATTTCTAATTGTACCCAAATAAATTGGGTTTTTTTCTTCAGTTTTTTCAATTATATTGTTTCTAAAATAATTATACTATACTTTTAAAATATTCAAAATTTACAATAATATTTATTCATTAATATAATAATTATGTTTTTCGTATAAAACTATTGACAAAATTTAGAGTTTATAGGACAGCCTATCTATTGATGTTAAATGCAAATATTAAATTACCAAAACATTGGTTTAAAGTTTTTTTATCATATAAGGAAGCATATGTAAAAAAAATTAATCATTTGATAATAAATACTTATATACTTTTATAGATGTACTGTTCGAATTTCACAACTTAAAAAATAACAATAATCTTTTTAGTCACTGAATTTATTTGGTTCGTATTTGTTAAAGTTTTAAGTCTTCATTTGAGGGTGATTATGCTGTTAACCAACTTTGCTCGCCACATGCTTAGTGATAGAGCTGGTCCAATTAATCCGGTCCCTGTCCCATTCTTTTTCTTTTTAAAAGTTCTTTAGCAATGTCGGATTAAGATATGAATCACTATTCAAAAAGTAAATAAATAATATTTTTTGTTTATTTTATAATTGATCTAAATAAAAACTATTTTATAATTTAATTTAAGACGGGATAAAAAATCCTAAATTCAATTATTATCAAACTCGATCCTCGAATAGATTTATCAATTACTAATGATTTACATTCATTACTATATATATATATATATATATATGAAGTTGAGATGGAAAATACCATAATCGAAGAATCAGTACCATTCATATATCAACCCTGTATTTAACCCTAAGAAAACTACATGAATCAAGCGATTTCGATAGTAAAAAAATTGTTATTTTTCTTTGAAGTATCGAGTTTTGAATACTAAGAATATAAGAAGTATGAGTGTTCAATAACAAATGGTTAGAAATTATCTTTAAACAAATATTGTTTTATTATTACCCGTATTAATGGAAATAAAAACCAAGGAGACTAAAGCACATGCATGGGACGTAAGTGCGGACTGGTATTTTGTTTCTTTTCTGACCCAAATGAATGCGTAGCATCAGCATGTGCTTGCTTACTGCGATTCATCCAGCCAACAGGTGGTGTTTCTCATCGATATAACAATTCTATATCCTTAAAAATAATGGTTCTTTTTTATTTTCTAATATTTGTTCGGTCATTGATAATATTGAAATCTGTTATTAAAAATTTACTACTAATATGTTATTATAATCAATGTTAACTTCATAAATAAATCATTAGGAATACAATAAATATATTTTATAGTGAACGTGTTAGAGGATTAAGATGGAAAGAGGGCGTGTAGGTTTAATGAAGTTATTGGATGGGTAGAATGAGCCGTAACACAAGCGGACTGCCCCTGTTGGTCCCTCGGTGTTTATCCCTATTGAGAATGGATGGACCTAACCAACCATTTGTATTGAGACAGGTGGTGACCTACCTCACTTCCACCAAAGATGAACGGAAAGAGCGGGTGGCTTAGGGATGAAACTTAATATGAATCTAACGAGTTTTGATTGAATCCGATTTGATAACGTTAATTTTTTTTCAAAAAGAATAGGATTCAGATTGAGTCGAATTGGGGGTTAGGTTGAATTCGGATAGAGGTGAAAAAGTCAGACTCGATTCGAGAATAATAATATATTTTTCTTAAAAATTATTATTATTTTAATTAAATTCTTAATTTATATTGGGTCAGGGTCCAAATTATATTGGGTTAGGGTCCAAATTATATTCTAAAAAATTGGATCGGGTCCAAATCGGTTGGAGTATATATATTTCGGGTCGGGTGTAAGATATAAAATTTTTGGAATGGGTCGGGTCAAGTTTATAAAAAAAACTATACTCTAATCTGATATGTTACCATTCCTAAGTGGAGTAATTATTCTTCTTGAAATTTTAAAATTATTATATATTTTAGAATTTTTTTATGTATCCAATTTTGATCAAAAACTCGACTCCAACCCTTCAACCTCACCTTCTTGAACATGGGCCTAATTTTGGTGCTCTGATTTGTATATAGGGATGGGTATAGGACCCGAATCCGACGGGTTCTGACCTGACATGATCAGTTCGGATTTTTTTAATTGGGTTTAGATTCGGGTCGGGTCAGGTTTAGGATAAAAAATGCCCGATTTGACCCGACCCAAAAAAATATATAATTTTACCTTATATATTTAGAAATAGTTCTAATAATATCTCTCCATTTATAATTTTTTCAATTAAATCACTGTTTTTATTAAATAAAAAATATTTTTTTATTATTTCAAATCAGGTCGGGTTTTTAAGTTATATATCGGGTATGATGAAATCTTGTTTTGGTCGGGTCGGGCCGGGACTCGGGTGGAGGATCATTTGTTCTCGGATCCCGTCGGGTAGATAAAAAACTCCACCAAACCCGACCCATACCTATTTGTATACAGACAAGTGCGGGACACTTAATTTTTATTTTTGTTTCATTGAAGCTTCACCGAATTCTAGCTATCAATTAGAGGAAGTATACTTTTTTTTATTAAGCTAATATAATTATAAAATAATATATATTTAAATATTTTAAATTATTTAATAATAAATAATTTAGTGTTTAAACTCCGACTATTTCTTTAACTATTAAGATAATATAATCATTGCAACCATTAACTACGGAGATAATTTAAGAGATAATGTAATTCATGCAACCAGTCGTATAGTTACATGAACGCTGATGATTGAAGTGAAAACTTTAAAAATATTTGAATAGAATCAAGTGAAGTCGTGGGTTACTGATTCCTCAACAAAGGTTATCAATTACCAGCCCACAGTACGATGGTGGAGTGGGAAGCCATTGGCTAAAGGAGCATTATAGCCCCCATCCACCATCAAGTGCATTTGTCACCTATGACCTGGTAATTTGGACACATCTTCCCCACCTTATCAAAATCACTTTGGCCCCTCAAAAATCAATGAACAAACGAACCTTTGGTTTCTTCATTTTTAACCTGAAAACTGAGATAACTGATAAAATTTTGCAGATGGATAATAGTGTACTGTGTACATGCAAAGGTGAAAGATGAATTCAAGAGCTATGAATTAAATGGAAATGGAAATAAAAATGAGGATAAAATTTACTTGAAGAAAAACAAAGAAGACATGAATTTAAACAGGGGCGATGATTACTTAGAGAGAAGATAAATGATGAAAAATATATAATAAGGAAGAAGAGGTGACACTTGGCTTTTACGTAAATAAAAGAAGTCACTGGCTAGGCGGCGGCGGCGGCGGCGGAGCTGAGCTGAAGCTGGCGGCTCCAGAGCCAGATAGTAGCTCGGCGAGAGCGCTCATCGCTCGAACTTGCATCTCAAGCGCCGATATGTAATCAGTAGCTTCTTCAAGAATAATAGGTAGCGGTTCCTTTCGGCAACCGGGAACCAACCGGCCAAGAACCTTAACTTTCCTTTGAACAGTCGGTAAACTTCTCGCTTTCAGTCTCGAAACGCTAAATCTCGGTTTCTTCGACCGGCGACTCCTGGTGACGGCAGCCACGGATGCGGCGGGTCGTCCTCTCTGTCTCTTCCGCTTTCTAAATTTCAGCTTAAGCCGGCTCGTCAAAATGGCCCGGCTCCACCTGGTTCTTCCTTTAGCCGCCACGGCCAAAGCTTTATCAGCAGCTTCACGGACAGCTCGGCCACCGCGTGGAGCCGAAGAAGGAGGACTGTCAAGACTCAGCTGACTCAGAGCTTGAACGAGCTTCGAGGAATATACTTGCTGCTGCTTCTCCGATTTCCATAAGGCGTGGCTTGGGTTGATCTGATTCTCTTTGATAATCGATTTCCTCTTCTTCATCATCTTTCTTCGATCGGAATTCGAGTTCGTCACTGGATTCATTATCGTGGACGCCATCTCAGCGGATCAAATCCGTTAAAATACTCTTTTCCCTCTCTCTTTCCCGCCGTACAATTCGATGAATTGCAACCGAAAAGAGAAAATCCTGCAAAAAGGATAACAAAAAAAGGAATCTAGATTCAGAATCTTTGGATTGAAATCATAATTCCATAAAAGAGAAGAGAATCTATTACTGGTTTTGGTGAAGTGAGAGAAAAGAAAGTGGAACGGAGGGGTGGAGGAGATGAACGGAACGGAGTAGATTAAGGGAAAGAGAGCATGCGTCAGTTACTGCTTGGTATTCCTCCCTTTTTATTTATTGGTCTTTTGGTAATGGTGTGGACCGTTTGGTCGGTCCGGTTAAGCGGTCCGGGTCTGGTTATGGGGAGCTCACCTTTTTTGTTATGACTTTCCGTTTTAAATCCTTTCGTAGAAAGTATGACACGTGTATACACATTTCGTCCCATTGATTTTTATTATACGAAGACAATGCTTTAAATGAATCGAACAAATATGGATGAGAGTATGTATTTATTCGTTCATTTAATTATTATCGAATAAATAAATATAAATAACTAAATGAAAGTAATTTTTGTGACCCTCTCACTCACAAAATAATTCAATATGACCTTTTGAATCTATTTAATGTTGTTATAAATGGAAAAATTACATCATTCATCACTTCACCATCTTTTTTCTTCCATTGTAGTCACTAAACTTTAACTTATTTTAATTTTAATCTCTCAAATTGCTCCTATTTTATTAGTAAAAGAAAAATTACATGGTATAGATTCTCTTAGGTAAATCCCGTTTGGAACTAGGATTTTTCCCTTTTTCATGAGAATTGTACGTTGCATTGCAACAATATTATTTTAATATTGAACAACAATATACAATTAAAATAATATTTATATTATTTTTTAATATTGTTATTTTTAATTTGAAAATTGAAAACTTTTAATTTACATTTATATCAAAAAAATATTATTTCTTTCCTCTCAATCTTATTTTAATATTGAAAAAATCCAAGATTGAGAGGATATTTTTTTAAAATTTAATTAATATTATTTTAAACATATATTAATAAAATAAGAATAATAAATGTCACATCATACATAAATATTAATAAAACAAGTCATTATAATTAAAATAAGAGAAATTTGAGGGATAAAAATTGAAAACTTTTAAAGTTTAGTGACTAAAATGGAAGAAAGAAGATAGTTGAGTGGTTAATATATAATTTTCCCATTTATAATAGCAATAAATGGAGTCAAATAGTCACATTGAGTTATTTTGTGAGTTGGAAGGTCACATTAAACGCTAAAAATAGGATGTTATGCTGCTTGACGTGTCACGTCAGCACAAAGTAAAGGAGTCGTTAGTCAACGACGGAAAACGTTGGTCAAAGGGTCACATTTGATTTTTTCCCCGAGTTGGATGGCCACATTGATCCCAAAAAAATGATAGAGACCATATTGGTTTTTTTTTTATAAAGTTCAAGGGCCTCTGATGTCTTTTTGCCTAAAATTAATTAGGTTTTAAAATATTAATGTGTTTAAGGGTAAATGTAGTAGGTATTAATATTTTATACAGATTTGGAGATTGAGTTGAATATAAACGAGCGAACATAAACGAATGAATTACCAAATGTTCACGAACGTAAATGAATGAACGAGCCATAAATTTGTGTTCGTTAATTTAATTAAACGATCATAAAATCTTGTTAATATTTGTTCGTTCAATAAATAAAAAAACATAAATAAACTTCTTGTCAAACGGTTCGTTGAACAGTTCACATTTACATGCCTGTACAATCCCATCAAATGACAAATGGCTTAAATTGGTAAAATTAGTGTTATGCTCTAAAGAGATCATAAATTTGAACATTAATATTTAGGTGTGTATATTCAATGATTATGTTTATATATTATATGAATTATTATTCGATACAATAAAAAAATAATTTTACAAGTTGTGCTCAGATGATGTGAAATGTCTTATTTTTTTAAGTAAGGTATCAATTTTCTCATTTAGTTTTCTTCTTAATCGTGTTTTGGTCACTCAAGTGTTAAATCATAAACAGAAATATGATATAATAACTAGTGTTGATTAGGGGTGGCAACAAGTTAGAGACGGTTTTGCATTACCCATTTCATCCCCAACATTTGCGGGTATGATTTTAGGGAATCCCTATTATATGTTTTGAGGAATTTTTTATCCACATACCCATTCCTTACAGATCCCTGTGGGTTTCGGTTAATCTCATCCCAAAAAATAAACAAACATTTTTGAAATTAATGCAATAACTAAAACTTGTAAGATATATCGGATTGTCTCAAATTAGTCTCTATCTATAATATGAAAGCTTCAAACATTAATATTCATCCAACACCCGATGTGTATGTGCAATCTTATCCATTTTCAATCTCAACAAATCAATATATTAAATAAGAAAAAAATCTAAACTTCAATTTTAGTTCCTTTGAGATGTAACAGTGGCAATATGTAATCTCACATATATTTTTCGAGGATCCCCACGGTTATTTTTGTAAAATATCGAGGATCCCTACCATTATTTTTTGGGGATCCCCCAGTTATTCGCACGGGTACAGTTCGATTATCCCCACGGTTCAGATATAGCAATCTCCGTCCCCGTTCCCATTTGAGCTTCGGGGATAAAACTTCCCCCATCCCCATCCCGGTTGGTGAATATTTTAGTTATTCCCCATTTCCATGGGTTATGATCCCCACGATTTTCGATTTTTCTCCACCTGATTCCCACCCCTAGTTTTGATGTTAATTGTTTTATATTAACATGAAATCCACATGTCATTCACATCATTTTCTCCTTTTTTTTTACCTTCTTACTCAATATATGAAAATTTTATAATTTATTAATGTATTATATTGATACTGCAATTACTAGTGTCTATTATGATCACTTAAGATATTGACAAACTTATTTAATCGTCTTCTATCACTCTATTAATTTATATAATTACCAAAATCATTTTAAAATTCATAAAACTCGATCCTAAACTCAAAACTTGAAAAATCATAAATTAAATTGATCTATAATATATTATATTCGATCAGTATGGAATTGAGATATATAACTAATTTCTTCATTCTTCATCTCCACACCATTGAGATTTAGAAGAAGATGATCCATTATTAAGAAAAATAAAACTAAAATCTAAATAAAAAAGAAGAAAATTTTTAGGCTTATTTTATATTTATAAAAGAAAGATATAGTCATAACAACGTTGAGTATTTAATGATGAAGTGACTAAATTATAAGGAATACTAAATTTCATTGAATATATTATTATTTTCTTAAATTTTAATGCAAAAAAAGAAAAGAAAATATTGAGTGATAACATTTAAAATATATCATCTATTGTTTAGAAAATTAAATATATTTAAAATACAATTAACGTCGTCTTAATATCATTTGTAAAATTATTTTTTATGAAAGTGTTCAAATAATAACTTTATATTGTATGCTAAATTATAGGTTATATTTATAATCATTTTATACCAATTTTGATATGGCAAAAATGCCAGGATAATGCATAATGGAAAAAAATTTCTCATTCTAATGTGATTCTAACATTATTTCCCCATCTAGGGCATTTTATACAGTACACGCCTAAAGACTCTAGAATATCTCGACTTCTTCATGCTAAAATTTTACATGCATAATCCTTAGAGATTACTCGGTGTCTTTAATTGAAATAGGGTTGTGGAGGTAGCCAGAAAATCTCGGAGTCTTCTTGGGTTTTTCGTTGCTTTTGTATGCATAGTGAATGTCCACAAGTTTATAAAGTGGGTTGGTCCACAAAGAATGATGAAAGCACCAAATTTTTGCCATTTTACACCTTTCTCAACCTTTTCTATTTGGCTGGTTGCACGTGACATTCTATTTTCATATTGTCACATTGTTGAGCACTGGTCTTAAAACAATGTTAAGCATGATCCCAATTTTAATTGGGAAAAATGTCAGGATAATGCAGAATGTTAAAATTTTAACATGGGTAAATAGCAATAAAATGTTATGATGAATTTAACATAAAATAACTCTTACTTTAAGTCGTTTAGTCAAAGTGTCCGTAAAGAGCTAATAAATCAATTTATAGCCCACATGCCACTCATCAGAAGGGTTTTTCCATGAAGAACATCCAAATGGAAATGATTAAAATGAAACATATTGAAGCCCACATGCCCCCCATGCAACAGCTTTGATGCCAGAGGAAGAAGAAGATGCCGAGAATTCTCAGCTACCTCCATATGCACCAGCAACCCTATTTTAACTAAAGACGCCGATTAATACCCAAGGATTATGCATGTAAAATTTTAGCCTGAAGACGTCAAGATATCTCGGGATCTTTAAACGTATATTGTAAAAAATGTTCTAGATAGAGAAATAATATTGGAACTACGTTAGAATAGAAATTTTTTCCCATTCTGTATTATCTTGGTATTTTTGCCATTTATATACTCCGCTCCAATATTTTTACCATTTGACCATTATAATTTTTTGCCGACCTTTCCTTAAATTAGTGCGGGGACAAGACTAAATCCCTTCTTCAAATTTAATTTTTTTTGATGAAAACTTGTATCCAATTAGACTGGTCCAACTCAAATATATATATATATATATAATTTCTATGGTTTGGGCCATTTGATTTTGTCTGTGGTGCAACCTTATAGGCTGAGCCTGAGGTTGCCTTCTAAAACGGCAATATTATTGGAAATCCGAGGACTTTTCGGTAACTCAACTCCCCTTCTAAAAACCCTAATTCCCTTTCCCCATTATATATAATCCCCGCTTTCCTCCCAGCTACAGTCAGTATTGAACTTTCCTCTTCATCAAAAATTTTCTTCAGCATTTTATCTTCAAAATTTCAGTAAATTTTCTCCTTAGGGTTTCCCTTTAATTTCATTATCATAGTTTCAGGGAATTCGACCTATTTTTTTTTTCAAATTCGCGAGGCATGGATTATTTGCAGGTAAGTTGAGTCACTTCGCCTCAGCTTTACCAGGCGCAGCGAATTTAGCTCCTGCGAAAACCTCCTTTTTATCCCTAATTTTATTATTTAAGTTTGATTTCATAATGGGATCCAATGATGGTATGAAATCTTTGAGACCTGATCTTTTTGTTTTTACATTTGATGACAACTATAAGCAAATTCACTGAGGATCCCTTTATTCTGCAAATGAAATTCTGATTTTGTTATGGATTTTGTTAAGAACTGTAGTAGATGCTAAATGTAGACGATGAAATATGCACTGGGCTCTGATCAGTTTCTTATATGAACTGCTTTCTTGATGGAAATTGCAGCCTAGAAAGCTTGTCTGATACTTTAGCCTCTTCAATTCTTTGAAAATCATGTTATTTTTAACCTGTTTGTTTTAACCATATTGATCATCACTTGTAAGATGCATGTTGTTGAATAGATCAACATGTATGTTTTGGATTTTGTTATGGATTGTAGTGGATGCTAAATGTAGATGATGAAATATGCACTGGGCTCTGAGCAGTTTCTTTTATGAACTGCTTTCTTGATGGAAATTGCAGCCTAGAAAGCTTGTCTGATACTATAGCCTCTTCAATTCTTTGAAAATCATACTTTTTAACCTGTTTGTTTTAACCATATTGATCATCACATGTAAGATGTATGGTTATGGTTACATGCACATGTTTTATTTTGTTTCGAGTAACAAATGGATTCAATAGATACTAGCAAGTATACTACCTACACTTGAAGGACGTGGATTAGAATGATTTGAAGTTTAGGAAATCGATTTGAATTCAAACAATATCGCAAGGGCGTTTTATGTGATTAACCAATTAAGAAGGCTATGTATATTAGAATATGCTCTCGAGAGCAAGAGCTCAATGCCCAATGGAGATCCATGGTGAATCCATTATTTATCGCAGATATGTACCTAGTAACAATGTATTGATTATTCTTGGCAATTACTGCTGCCAAAAAGCACAAACTCGGATCAGATTATAGTGATTAGTGAATATGTATTCTTAAATGTTTTTCAAATGTACAAATTGTATTGCAATTTAAATGTTTAGATAATTTGCATTTTGGTCATTTAACTTTAAAAAATGTATTGTAATTTGATTTCATTACAATCATTATCATCAGCTGTTAATATATATGAATGATAATTTGATCGAATCTGATGTGTTTTGATTTAATTTAATTTGACATGATAGATTTAAGGGTAAACTATATGAATGGTCACTAATATTTGGGTAAGTGTTTGTTTTCATCACTCTAGTTATCGTTTGTTACAAATTCGACATTTCACGAAAAGAAATCATAGTTGGATTGTTATATGTTGACCTGGATTGTGGATTGCCACAGTGGATAATCGCTGAAATATCTTTGACCATCTTTTTATCTAATATTATAATAAAATATAAAAAATAATTAGATATTTAATGAAGATTTACTTATTAAATCAATTAAAGAGGAAAAATGATAGAAAATAATTTTAAAGAGAGTTTGTGTTCTAAACCTTTTCTTCTTCTATTCCTATGTCAAATGAATCAATTTGAGTGGGGATTTAGAGAATAATTTTAGGGTTTAAGAGGAAAGGGGGGAATCGTGAGAAAAAAAATAGAGATCCGTTTGGATTTAAAAAAATATAAGTTATTTTTATTTTCTTAGAAAATAGAAAATTTTGAAAAAAAAACGTGTTTGGTTGTAAAATTAAAAAATGATTTCTAGAAAATGAAAACAAAAATAAATGAAAATATGAAAACATAAAAGATGAAAACAAAATAAGTGAAAATAAAGATGTTTTCAATTTATTTTTATTAAAATTGTTTTTGTAATTTTTAAAATTTGAAAAATGCAAAACATATATTTTTAACTTAACTTGCACGGATTTAAATCTTTTCAACGGTAACTTTTGAGTTAATTGTATCTAAAACCCTAAAATTTTTGCAAAATATTCAAATATGGTCCTTAAACTTTTTGTAGTCAATTTGATCCTTAAAATATTTTTTTTAATTTTTTATATTTAATATATTAAATATCTTAATAATTGTTTATATTTTATATTTTAAATTTAAATAATTTTTAATTTGTTCTAAATATATAATTAAGTCCTTAAACTTTCTAAAAGAATCAATCGAGCCCTCGAATTAGCTAATAAATCAATTAAGCCTATCTATCTTATCATCATCCATCATGTAAGCATTGTGATAGGTAACAGTTGATTTTGTTAGTCAAATGGTTAGATTGAAGTTTTTTCTTAATTTAGGATTCACATTGAATGTAAAAAAAGTTCAAGGGCTATACTATTTTCCCCCAAAAGTTTGAGGTCCTTAAGACCACTAAACATAATTTTTATTTTAATGACATTTTTCTGCTATTGTTTACAATAATAATTGTGTGTGTGTATTTTTTAATTTAGGTGATGTTTATATTCTTATTATTGTATTATAAAATTTCTTATTAACATTATTGTTTTATATTTGCATAACTCACGTATTAAATTTATGTAATAAATTTTTTAATGATTATATTTTAATATAATTATTTAATAACTATTTTTTCATTTCTATTTAAAAAAATTAGATATCAATTATATTTTAACTATTTTTATTTCTGAAATTAAGTTTTCGTTTATATTAACCAAACATGTTTTCTAATTTTCAAAAAAAAAAATGAAAATGAGAACTATTTTTTAAAAATAAAAATAAAAAATATTTTCTAAAACCAAACCTACTCTTAGGTTTCGAGAGAAAAACTTACGGTTTGAAGTGAATATGATATTTACATGGAGGCTATGACAAAAGAGAGACAACACTATACTTTACGGTTTTGACATAAAATTGATTGAATTTTCTTTGGAATGATGTTTTCAATTTTGTTTCTATATTTTTCTTTCATAGTTATGTGTTGATTTGTTACATATGACAATTGAGTTTGCCTATAGATTTTTAGTTTTTCTTCCATCTTTACCTTAGTTAGGTTTTCTCTTAGGGATTTTGTTAGAAATTTTAAGCGAAGGAAGTATGAATGCAAATGTCAAAACTTAGGGTTAGGGATTGAGTTTTTATTTAAAGGGGAAGAGATGATCATTGGATCCATTTCACTATCCATCATAACAATCCAAATCAGCATATAACGGTCTATCTGTGATTTCCGTTACACCTATTAACGGTTGTTAACGTGGAGTGATCGATTTGTAACAAACGATAACGTTATTGATCGATTTGTGGCTGTTTTGAAACATCAGCGGTAAAAATGAAAACTTACCTAAATCAATGCATTATAAACCACAAAAAGATATTGTTACTTTGTTTACTCCCAACCAATTTCTACCTTTAAAAAAAAGGGGAAAAAACACCAGAAAAATCTCAAGAAACTTATGATACAAAGTCTAATGTAATATTCATTCCACAAGGCATCCAAAAACATGTCTCCCATGAATATTGCATTTGCTTCCATATTGGTCATTGCCATGTGTTTCCCATGTTCCGTGGACGGCAAGAAATCGGACGTTTTCAAACTCGATGCGCCTACCTTGATGAAGAAGCTCGCCGCGAATTTGACCACCACGGTCGACGCCGAGGGTGGAGGAGACTACAAAACCGTTCAAGAGGCGGTCAACGCCGTCCCGAACTGGAATAGTAAATGGATTATCATCCATGTTAAGAAAGGAGTTTATAGGTAACTCATTCCCAATAGCATACATGTATCACGGTTACGTGATGGATAATTATTATGAAATGCTTTTGGTATTGCAGAGAAAAGGTTCATGTGCCGAAAGAGAAACGTTATATCTTCTTGAGAGGCAATGGTAAGGGAAAGACCGGCATCATTTGGTCGCAGAGCTCCGTCGACAACAAGGAATCCGCCACTTTCTCCGTCGAGGCGAAGAACTTCATCGCATTCGGCATTAGCTTCAAGGTAACTATTAGGCCTGTAAAAGAATCGAACGGACACAAACAATGATACGTTCATTTAACTTCAACCGAACAAATGAACGAACACGAACAACTAAACAAACGAAATTTTTTGTTCGTGTTCGTTCGTTAAATTGATAAACGAACAGAAACGAACGAACGTAAACGAACACAAACAAATGAACATAAGAAGAGTTTTTTTTTTTCTTTCCAAATAATTTTAGGATTTATATTTTCTTTAATTGGTTTGAGTATTTTTATTTGGTTTTAAAATTAATTGGGTTTTAAAATATTAATGGGTTTAAGGTTAAAATTTATTAGGTATTAATATTTCAAATACGTAAATGAACGAACGAATTATCGAACGTTCACGAATGTAAATGAGCGAATGAGTCATTTTTTTCGTTTTCGTTCATTTAATTAAACAAACACAAAATCTTGCTCATGTTCATTCATTTAAAAAATAAACGAACATAAATTAACTTTACACCGAATGGTTTGCTTAATGTTCGGTTCGTTTACAGGCCTAATAACCGCTAACGGAAGTAACAGTAACAGATTAACATCCTCTTTTTTATATAAATTTGTTTAATGTTCATCATCAACATTCAACAAGCTTCGATTTCGGTTCATCAATGGCAGAATGAAGCACCGACAGGCGTTGCTTATACATCCCAGAACCAGTCAGTGGCAGCATTCGTGGGCGCAGACATGATCGCGTTTTACCACTGCGCATTCTTCAGCACACACAACACTTTGTTCGATTACAAAGGCAGACATTACTACGACAGCTGCTACATCCAAGGCTCGATCAACTTCATCTTCGGCCGAGGAAGAACAATGTTTCACGTAAGTTCGAATCCAAATTCTGGGTGCTTCGGATTTCGTCTGTTTTAATGGATTGGACAATACGCAGAACTGCGAGATCTTCGTGTTACAAGACAAGAGGATCGCGATCCATGGGTCCATCACGGCACAAAACAGGGCAAAACATGACGAGAACAGCGGCTTCGTCTTCCTCAAGGGCAAGGTTTATGGCATCGGCTATGTTTACCTGGGAAGAGCTAAAGGAAAATACTCGACCGTGGTTTTCGCTCACATGTACTTGTCTAAGACCATCGTCCCCGAGGGCTGGACCGATTGGAGCTACCATCACGGCCCCGAGTAAACGAATTTAGCTGACCCAATACTCGATATTAACGATAACATGATCATTAAATTTAACTCGAACCATACACGATCCAAAATTTAGCTGACCATATATGGACTCATCCAATTTGACCCGAATTGAAAACAACCCGAACCAAATTTAACCCGAAAATAACCCAAACTAAAATTAATCCGGACCGAAAATATGTATATACTTGATTAGACTTATAACCGAATTAAGCCTAAATGATAAGATTAACAAACAAGAAGATATATTCTTACAAGAATATATCAATAATTCTATATATATTTGATTATACTCATAACTAGTTCAATCCGAGTTGACCTAATCCAAAGATTGACCCAATTTGAAATTCAGTCAATCTGATATTAACCCAATCCGAAAATTAACCAATCTAATATTAATTTGACCTGAAATCTAACCGATTCGGTATTAATCCGACAAAAAAATCAACCAATTCGATATTGACCCGAATCGAAAAATAATAGATCCGATAGACACTTGACCTAAAAATTGACCTGACTCCCTACCCAACCTAATTTACCATACACCTGAACAAAATCCGAATCAACTCGATCCGAATCGAATAAAATTAAACCAAATATAATCTAGAGCCAAAATAACCGGAATGACCCGTTTGCTACCTCTAATTTAGAATCAAAGCTTTTGTTTTTCTGATTTATTTATCTGATGTGATCCTCTTGTTTGTGTTGCAGTAATTTGTTCCATGCCGAGTATAAGAACCATGGGCCTGGAGCTGATATGTCGGGTAGAGCTCACTGGGTGAAGAAATTGACCGACGAGGAAGCCAAGTATTGGACCACCATTGACTTTATTAAGGGCACTTATTGGCTTCCTGCATGGCTTGATTGAATGATGGGAAGTTAAGGAATTATGTATTTGTTTTACATCGTGTATTTTATCAAGTTATAATTTAAAAGCATGTAGTATGATTTAATAAAGTTTTATATATTTTGGTTTTAATTTATTGATATTTTACTTATATAATGAATAACAATGATCTAAAAGTTTGGGGATTATTCATGTAATTTACTCTATTAAATATATTAAACCCGGGAGTAGGGAACTTGAAACTCTGGTGGATCTACGACTTGGGGTTTTAGTTTTGTTCTTCTTCTAGCTGGTTTCCCTGACCATAAGCCACTAAAGCAAAAGAACAAGCAGATGGAAGCCGGAGATGGAGGCCGGAGATGGAGGCGTTGACCGAGTCGTTGACTCGAAGGATTTACAGCAACAAAGCAAAGCCTTCGATAAACTCACCGACCGTGTCGAAGACCGCCAGCTCGATTCTTCTCGTGCCCAATCGGTGCGCTTTATAATATAAAATCACATTCTCCCTTTGTATAATTTTAATTCCATTTTTCTTGGGTTTCGATTTGTTAGGCCATGGCATCGATTGCGGCCTCTGCCGAAGCTGAAAAGAATGCTATGAGATTGAGGTTTGAGCTATTTTTCTTTTATGAATTTCATTTCTGCAGTTTTCTGGTAAGAAAATAATCGGATTTTTAATCGAACCGCGGCTTGGATATTTGAATATTTGTATAGAATTTTAGTCCAATTAGGTGGTTTTTGTTGAATTTTGAGATTTCGTTGGGGGCAGAGGAGAGGATTGCTTTGCTTGAAGAAACAAAATGTTTTGTTTGGATTGATTGGAATCTATTGAATTTTACTTTGCTGATTGTTCTGTCATTAACAAATAAGGAAGATTGCTCCTTTGTTTGGCTCTTATTCGGATAGGGGTACGGGTTATAATAAATCTATAACCTTTCCAAGGACCTTTTGACATATTTTTGCTGGATACATACTTGTCCGATACGAACGAGTATGAATAACATAGATTGGAAGCTTGTTATCGACCATTCTTCTAGTGACATCATATTGAATGCTGATGACCTTGATATGCTGGAATTTTAATCACTGTCAATGGATAATCATATTTGATTTCAGTTTGCAATATAAGCTTCCTTTCATTGTTCTCTTTCCGTTCTCCTACTCCTATTCTTCCCCAGCCACGTTATTGAAGGAGCCCCTAGATCCCATTGATGTATCATAACTTTTAGCTGTAGGCCTTTCAAAATGGAAGATTCAATGTTGTAGATTTTTCAGTTTCGAATTTCTCGAGTCTCGGTTGCTCAGTAATTACGCAACTTGGTTATCCATGGTTATCCTAATGCGAAATTGTAGCATGGTCTTCTATGGCATTACATATCCTCGAGTACATAACAGATTTTTCTCCTTTTTTTGAATTTCTGCCCAATGCTTATCTAAAGCAAACATTATACATTTTGTTCCATACAGGGAGAAAGAATTAGCTGCTGTTAAGATCAATGCGGCTGAAGTGGACATCATTGCTAATGAATTAGAGGTTCGATACACATATATATATTGTTCTTAACATCGATATAATATGCCAAAAATTCTAATACACTTTTCTTATCTTTTGCACTGGAAGAAAGGTTGGACAAAAGGGTGGCCGAGAGAACACTTCGTGAGCACAAGGGTGATGCTGTTGCTGCTATTGATCCTTGCTTCACTAAACGGATCTGGCGGCATGATGATACTTTTTCAGGAAATCACGTCATGTGTAAGACGTAGTTCATTGAAATCTAAACATAAATATAGCTACATTGCAGTGGTTATCACTGTAAACTAGTTCACCTGGTTTTAACGTAATGGCTTTTATGCAAATTGGTTTCCCATTCTATACAATGCTTTACTTTTATGTTGATTGTTTCCGCATGTATGTTTTATTTGCGAGATTTCTTTCTTTCAAATTATGATAGAACTGAATTCGAGTTCTTACGAGTCAAACTTGAATAGCTTTACGAGCAACATCAATTTTGGTTTAAGAAAAATGATTTAAAGCCCTTTCCCCCCTCCTTGTAAGTTTAACCTTGAATACAACACCATTTCGCATTACAGACACTAATAGAAGAATCAAACAACCACTACCCTCAAAAAGCAGGTGTTACTACACACACTCACTTGGTGTAGAGGACATCTTCCCATGGGTGTCGATATAGTGGCTGCTTCAATCTCTTCTGGTCGAACGTGTGCCTGAGATATCGAACAATTAAATGTAAGGGACTACTAAATACATAAAAGTGTTTGAGCAAATGCTGTAAAGCAAACATCTCTCTCTCTAATTGCAATATTCTCTGTATCATTCAATTAAATCTTTTCAACATGGTTAGACCATATCTAAGTTCGTCTCAGATATCGTGCTTAAAAAAGGATGCGGTTTGTTTGTAAGCGGATCAAGAAATTTAAAGGAAAAGCTACAGTTTATGTATGAAAAATCCAAAGTGTAAGCAAACTTACCCAATCAAACCAATGGATCTTGCTAACACAAAGAGCCCATTAAGGTATCCGATTTCTACTATCTCATCAATCTCTTGCTTGGTGAACATCCCACTACCAGCAAGAAGATCCAAGAAAAGAGACCCAATGGCACCATCGACGTTGAGGACGAGGTTGTTAGCCTTGGAAAGAGTATATGTTTCAACTTGGACGGCATATTCCATGTACTTCACAGATGGGAAATTTGTTCGAGCAAACCGTTGGAGGAGCTCCACTCTCTTATCTCTGTTGTCCCCTCTCTTATCTCTGTTGTCCCCTCTCTTAATCCTTTTAACACGAAGCGAAGCAAGTATTTGCATCCATTAGACATGTAATAGGATATTCAGGAAATAACAGAAAATCAGATATCATGGTTACTGCATTTTCAATGGTTTAAAAATATTGACCATTAAAAACCATTTGTACCTGTGGCCAATTCCCGGCACACGAATACCCTTCTTTTTCATGCCTTCTACAAAACTCATAAGGTGTAAGACCCTGTGTAAACGAAGCACAGAGGAAGCGTCTTATAATGTTATGTGAGAAGAGTCATGACCCACCAACCTATCCCAAACCTTTACAATCAACATTGAAACTTACCCTGTCGTAAGCATCTTTAAATATCGAGCAGCATCATCACGGCACCGCCAAATCGAGGACCGATGGTAAGCAAACCAGAAACAAGACTGGAAAACTAGGTCTTTCCCAGCTCTAGCAGTCACTATGGGTTGTGAGCACCTGAGACACATGGACCATGGTCGGCACAGAGCATGATGCATATCTGGACAGATCATACTTATTTGTGAACACAAAAACAGAACTTCACTTTCTAAAGACAGAGACAGCATAAAATGAAAACAAAAGAAATGGATTGAGCTCCATCTAACTAGCTGTAAAAATAGTGAAAAACTGATGAGAGATGGCTTGGTATTGGTACAAACTCGTAAGAGGGTTATACAATTCAGTGGCCTACCTCAATAAATGAGTACAGTATCTGGGAAGGCTACGCTTGAACCACAAGAGAGAAATGACATCGCCAACACCATAACCTTGCTCAATAATGGAAGACATAGGCACCCAGCATAGCATGGCTCCTCACCTGCAAATTAGGTTCAAAGAAAGAAGTAGTAATGTCCATGTATTAAACATCGTTTTGGTTTCCAACACATATGGGTTAAGATAACGCACCCCTGTCATCAGAGATGGTTGAATAATATGTGTTGGAGCCCGAACTTTCCCACTCTTAATTGCAGTGTTAAGATCTTCTGGGATTTGTGGAGGTTTGACTTCCTTCACGGGTGTAATCTTCCCTTGTTCAACCTAAAGGCACAAGTCAAGTACATCAATATGGCTAAAGCATAGAACAGAGTTCGGCCAAGATAGAAAACTTACCAGTTTCTCAAATGTTTCCTTGATCACAGCTTCAAAAGCTTCATATGAAGTGGGAACTACACCTCCAGCATCCTTTAGTGCTTGATTCTTCGCCTGTGCGGATTCCATCTCACCACCACTCTTAGCTCCCTGAATTAGTAATAAGGTAAAAGGTTATGTCTCACTAATAGCAGTAACCCATAGTTGAATAAGAAAGAACGTTAAGCTGGTAACTTACAGCATGACCAAACTGTACTTCTGATTGAGAGTCGTGCACAAGTTCCACTGACCCAAGCAACCACTGGCTTGTTCACTTTACCCTGTTTCAGGGCTTCAAACCAAGGAATACTCATCTCGTCCGCCAAGTTCTCCAAGCACAACCATCATCTTTACTGAGTTGGGCATGGAAACAAATCAAGCACTTCTTTTCAGCGCAGGGGATGCTTCAGTATCATTTATGAATTTGAATTGTTATGCCATTAAAAATTAAGATGGGAGTTGGGAAGATGGGAGTTGGGAGGTTAAGTTTTTTTTTTTTAATTTTCCTAACCATGCCTTCTTCGCATATGTAGCAACAAGAATAAGCAATGAACAAAAACTGAATGAAAAAAACAATTTACCTGTGGAATGTTGTTGAATCGCAAAACAGGTCAGATAAAGTGGAGCCGGGGAAGACATCTCCTCCAATTGCAATACCTATATAATTTTTTAATTTGTACCCAAAAGTTAAATTTTAGAATATAAATTCATACTTTCCAAAGACATAACATAAATAGGAGATTGCCCCACAAAAGGCCACAATGCAATTGCTTAAGCAGAAGAGAAAAAGGAGTAAACTGCACAGACACGCACACCCGCACAAAAGAAAAACTATCACTATCACATACAGATTTGGAGACAAACCGACAGATCCAGGCCGATACAGCTTGCATTGAACAATGTTGTCAATTGTTCCAGCAGTGTCGCCAATCTTAAAAGCTCCAGCCTGAATTCCTCCAACGGTAGCTGGGCCAAAACAACCTGTAAGTCCATAAGTAATCAAATTATATGAAAGAAGACCAACAAATTAATCATTAAGATAAGACATGTATTATTGATTTGGTTTCTTCATCTTGCTCACCTTATTGTTGGAACGTGCATATGAAATCAACTGCTTGGTGTCTGACTCGGAACACCTTCAGCAATTATAGCGACAACTCGAATGGTTGGCTGTTTCAGAGCAGCCATGGATGAAGCAGCAGCACTGCAAGTAAGCAATTATAGCGACAACCGAATGTTGGCTGTTTCAGAGCAGCCATGGATGACAGCAGCACTTAAATAAATGCAATTATTTAACTATGCATTCAAGAACTCCTGCTCCAGAAACAGCATAAACAAAGACTAACCTTCGGAACGATGCAAAGTTGATAAAAACATCAGCCGTTGGATGTGCAGTACATGCTCCTTCAATGCTGTAAAATATATCAAATCAGAGATTAGAGAATATAAAGCTAGGAGAATGCAGTTGACCAATCAAATAACAGGGTAAGCTGTTCAACACTATCTTACTCTGTAAAGGATGCAAAATCAAATGTATATATTTACTGAATGTCCTTTCACTTATTAAATTATTAATTAGCAGCAACTAACTGTGCACAACTTAGCTATACACATTGGTTTCCATATACAAGAAACAACTAACAAAAGTAAAGTCCATGAGCTAATGAAAGCTAGACCAAGCTATAGTATCATAGGTCAATTATTATCTTTGTCAATGGTAATAAAGTAAATAAGTGAATTGAAGAAAAAATAAGGGAAGATATTATAAGGTAACAGATGATCACACTATAACGGCATAATATAAAATCTTCAGAATCAAGTTATACGCTTTTCATAGATCCATTTAACTAATTATCCAAGTTTACAGGCAGGCCCGCGGTGTATAAGGTAACATGCCATAACGTTCTACAATAAAACACTTTCAAGACACAAATTAATAATCAATGAAATATAAGATTGATCTAGTAATAGAAACAGAAGAGAAGAGTTTAAGCTTATTACGTAGAATGTACTGGGATCGCAATTTCCTCTTGACCGAAGAAGAGTTTCTGAAATCCCTCAGCTCCAGGATTAATAATACCAGCAACAGACGGTGTTTCCCTCCCTACAAATTCAAAAAGCATAAATTCAGTACCGATCACGAATCAAGCAGGAAACAACTTAAATAAAAAAAAAAACTTCCATTAAGTCCTTAAATGAATCAGCAAGGGATCCGTACCGCATAGGAAATCAAAATCAAGCATTCGCTGAATCGGAAGTTGTTTGTAGTTGTAGAATAAAGCTTGCGTAGTTCGAGAAAATAACTGTCCAGTAGCCATGTCTTCGACTCAAAAGAGACCTGTCAAAAACGAACACGATTTTAGCTTCAATCCATTAAAAAGGAGCCTGATCCAAAATTACACCTAACTTGAACCTAAAAACAACAAGATCTCACAACAAAAAAGACGAGATCAAATCAAATCAAACCACCACAATGCAGTTAAAACAGTGGTATAACAAGAAGAAACGCGAGATCTCTAGCTCTAAACAGCTAATTCTTCAGCCAAACAAGAAACAAACAAATCGAAGTATCTTAACGAAACTTTTTTATGAACGAATTGGAATAAAAAGGGAAGAAACACACGGAAAGTGACGGAAATTGGAATTGAGAGAAAAGAACAGATCAGAGAGGGAATGTAATCTTTACCTGAGGAGAGAAAATTGGAAGGAAATGCAAACGGTGGAAAAATGAGGAATGGTAGATACGGAATTTATATCG